TGTGTGTGTGTGTGTGTGTGTGTGTGTGTGTGTGTGTGTATACGTACTATATATATATATATATATATATATATATATATAAGTATATATATATACAATTGTATATGTGTATGTATATATATATGATGATATATATAACTATATATATATATACGAGCATGTAAATATATATATACAATTGTATATATGTATGTATATATATATGTGTTGATATACAGAACTATATATATATACGAGCATGTATATATATATATTTGGTGTGTGTGTGTGATTGCATATATATATGTGTATATGTATATATATATATGGTTATATATAGATATATATATATATATATATATAAACATTTGACCATATATATAAATACATGTACACATATATATATATGCAATCACACACACACACACACACGCACGTATATATATATATATATATGCTCATATATATATATATATATAGTTATATATATCATCATATATATATACATACACATTTCCAATTGTATATATATATATATATATAATTATATAGGGACTGTGTCTGTGTCTATCTGTAATAAATTAACATGAATATATATATTTGTGTGTCTGAGTCTGTTGGCTGTATATGTATTTGCATATATAAATACATATATAGATATAGATATATATACATATATATATGTGTGTGTGTGTATTCGTGTATAAATATGTATATATGTGTGTACTTGAATTCACAACTATACAGTATTTAATCCTATAAGTACACAACACATTCAAACATATTCTCATCTATACATGCATTTTTAAATATGGCGCGCATACACATGTATTAAAATTATGTATACATTTAGATGCATTTCTATATATATTGAAAAAGATCGATCTAAACATACTACTATACATATTGATGCAATATACATATATGTACATATCTCTCTGTTAACTTTACTTATATATATATATGTGTGTGTGTGTACAAGTTTATAGTTCAGTATATTTATTTCAATCATTATATATAGTTATATATGCAAATACATATATATATATATATATATATATATATTTAATTTATACATGAATATATATATATATATATATATGTGTGTGTGTGTGTGTGGATATATATATATATACATATATTTATACATATATATATTAATATATAATCTATTCATATATAAATATATATGTATATATAGATGTATATATGTATATGTCATTTCTTTATGTAAGTATGGTTGTGTATTTATATAATTAAGAATGTATTTTACATTTGTGTACACGTACATATATATATATATGTATGTATATATATATATATATGTTTATATGTATTTGTATATTTGTATATACATTGTTAATATATATGTGCATATGTATATGTATACATAGACATATATTCAAATGTATATATATATGTATGTATATATGTATATACATATAGATATGTATGTATATACATATGTATATATATATCTATTATGAATATAATATGTATGTGTGGGTGTGGGTGTGTTCAGAATTTGTACATACGTATGATATTTTTGTGTTGGTGTACATGTTTTCGTACATATCCATACATGAAATACATGTAAAACACATGGCATATTTTTTTTATAATTGCATAAAGAGATGTGGGTGTCTAAAGTTTTATTATATGTAAGATACAGTATAAGTAAAGCCAATACATGTATGATATATCTATATTTACAAACATATATGTATATGCTTATGCCTCTTATCATGTGCATATTTTTATTTTTCTTGTCGAAAAAATATGTGTGTAGAATTGTATATATTGAATAATGTGAATATATCCAATACTTGCTAACTACATTCAATTTTGTGCTCTACACAAAAATCAATGTAGTTATCATTGTACTTGCATACATACGTGTAGAAGTATGAGCAATCGCGGATTACACATTATGAGTGCAAGATACTATCTGAATATATAGCCTTCATAATGTGTAATCCACGATTTTTCATACTTCTACGCGTATGTATGCAAGTATAATCATAACGGCATTGAATTTCGTGGTGTGTCATTTGAGTATGAAAAGTTGTAATCCGATGGTTCTAGTTTGATTGTTTATTAAAAATCATATTTGTGCATGTTTTCAATATTTATACAGTGCGTGTATCATACATCTATTCCGGACGAGCTTTCGCAATAAGTTTTACGGAATAAAACCCTTTTTATTGAATAATTCATACAAAATGGTTTCTATCAATGGATATAAACCCACAGATGAACACATAATTAAAGTTCTAAAGTCTCGATATTCACATCCATCTGTCATTATATAACACAACCCCAAATAATGTTCTACGAATAATGTTTTCTGTACAGGCTTCGATCATTGCATATGGAACGCCGCTTGCCATGGCCACGGTTTTCTCGTCTTCGGCTGCGTCTCTGTACTTCTCTACAATGCAGAGTGGCGATTGCGATGTGTTCAGCGCCAGTCCATCCGTCGAGTGTATAGGATCATATTATTCCATCCTAACCCTGTTCACCTTTCTAATGGTGTGCATGGTATACAAGGAACTCACCGCACTAGCAGATCTACAGCAGATCTTGACAGTGTACAGAGGTCTCACATTTTTCATCATGCTTCTTACGGTGGGTAGAAAGCTATATATCGATGGGATGTATGCGTTGGACAGTCGACTACACACCACGGGCTACTTTCACTTCGACCAGTTTGCAGCAGCCTTTGGGCCCATCTTCAACGCACTCACAACACAGTACCAAGTTCCACCGGCCATCTACCCGCTCAAGAACAAGGCGAAGTCTATGAATGTGGTCACAGGCTATGTATCTGTAGCCACAGTCATCTACGTATTGGTGGGTGTCATGTGCGCACTGGCGTTCGACAAGGTGAATCCGCTTGTAATCCTCGAGTGGAGTTCGTATACCGGCTGTGGGAACGGATTCGAACCATGTGCCTCAAACACTTTCCCCAGTCTTCTCGCGAGCTCAATTAAGCTGTTGATATTGGGTTTCCCTCTGTTTAATGTGATATCCTGTTTCCCCTTGACGTGCTTCTGTGTGGGTGAGAATCTGCTGTCATGCATGCCCGAAGCGACTGTAGCCAGGTTTGGTCGTGAGGCCACATTTTTGGCTTGCCGTATGATCATTTGTACCATATCAATCACTGTGGCAGCTTGTATGGTTCGCATTGATACCCTTCAGACTATAGTTGGGCTGACCGGAAGTGTAATCGGTCTATCTCTGCCAATATTCATTGAAATGTGCAGTATATACATGTGGCCCAACCAACACAAGACACCTTACACATTCCAATTTATCACTAGCAATGCATTCTTGAAAGCATTTCTCGTGATTAGTATGATATGCACGAGCGCGGCACTAGCCACCTTCAAGGTTTGAATTGACTTCAGCGGAAAGAAGATTTACATTATCAATTTAGTAAACGACATACATCAACGAAATAAAATTTAGTATCTATGTAGTGTCTGATAATCAGATATAAAGCTTTATCTAGTCTTATATGATATTAGCAAACACTAGTTGGAATGGAATGCATCAAGATCTTGTTTTTTCCAATCACTATGAAATGTATTGACATGTCGCCTAACTGTGCTGCTCTTGAAATTCGGACCTGCAAGTCTTTCTACAAACGTACAGCTGTATGGTATTGAAATATCAATGTGGATTCCATATTTGACCTGGCAATCGACAAACCCGCATCATTATATTTAACTCGGAATTTCTGTGTGATATTGATTAGTAAGACATACTAGATTGTTCCTGACCTCATCAGAAAGTTTTGTTCTTTTGAATTATTCTTGCAGAAAACATCAAAATAGTTATCACGGAAATGAGTTCTCACAACCACCTGAGGATCTCGAAAATCTTTTATCAATAGATTTGCCTGTAAATTTGATTCGCCGTTATGGTATGCTTGGGAATTGAGATTGCATACTTTAAATAGAGCGAATAAAGTAGTAAGGTCGCCGACTTGAATATCTTTTCTCTTTCAATCATAGTTTATTTTCTTGAGTAATTACTAATTTCGCTCTAGCTGTATAATCCGTTCAGTGGCTCTAAAACGGATATATTTCCCACGGCAACAATCAATACAGCATGTACAGGCCCGTGAAGCTTCTCTCTTGAAATAAGTGGTGACGCAAGATAGTATTTTATTCCGTTTATTGCCTGCAGATGTCTTTTTTTGCAATATATAGAAGAAAATTCCTGGCTGACTCTTTACCGCATTGTACAAGTACGAAATGACAGGAATACATGTTCGAACGCTACGGTTAGAATGCCTGAGTTATACAAACGCATGACCTATATAAAAATTGCAGAAATTAGATATAGACGCGTGTCTTATAGGCACATGGGTATTTGGTATGACGGTTGTGTTATAAAATTTATATTATTGATAACTGGTTTTACTATACATAGGCTGAAACCTTCAAAGTATGTCACAAACTTATTCACAAGTCATCATGTATTTGATTTCAAATGGCTGACAGTATACACAACTCTCATGATGGCGGTTTGGTATTTGTATTGTCCCGCCCTTGAACATTTTTACATTTGCATAAACCTTTCTGAAAAAGCATACAATTGACGATGGGAGATCTTCCCAAGACTATGAATGTCTTCTGTGGTGTCTTCGGCTGGTATCTTCTGCGTGTGCGTGGACCGGGTTTTGTTGGTGACCGTTGTCAGCATTAGAGTTGACAGGGTTGTCGTTGGTGTGCACAGCACCTTGTTGATGCTCTGCGGTCTCTCTCTTGGCTTTTAAGCGCCGGCGTATAATCCACCATACCATATTTTGTTGATCTATTTGTTCTTGTTATTGCAGTTTCTTCCGATTGATTGCTTGGTTGGTATGTGTAGGACTTCGATGTTCTGTTTGGACTTTATACTTCTAAAGCTGCTTGCAATTTTTTGTAGTGAAGTGCCTGAATGATGCACCTGATAGCATGTTCCGACCTCAAGTAGATCGTTGGTATGTATAGAGAGTCGATTGCTGGCGAGGTTGCCGACCATCAGTAAAAACCAGGCATCAGCCAAGAGATCACTGGATCAGTGATCAATTAGACAAATAATTTTAGTATATATTATTACGCCTATTATATTTATATATCAATATCAATATGCGACATCTGACATCTCGGCTTTTAACAGGTTGACAACTGGTTTCTATTGGCTGATACCAGATGGCCGACATACCGATGTATTTTATATATTTTACAAAATACATAGCCTACTCTAAATATTTACCATATTCTAGTATTGTTATGTTTTAAAAACAAAAACAAAAGGAGATATTAGAAAGAAAGCTCTGAAATTGTCGCTGCCTCCCCGATTTTTTTATGCCTTGTTTTGTTTTTTTTATCTATTTTTGATTGTTTAAATAAACAAAAAGAAAACAAAACAGAAAGTCGAATGCAAAATCAAATATTTTTTAAAAACAAATACTTTTATTTTTCTTCATAAAGAATAGCCTTCTGTGTGTAATTTTCAGAAGGCTATGCATAAAGCTTCCTATTTTTGCGTCCGAATCTCTTTAGAGTTTTGACTCGTATTTTTTTCTTCTGAAACTGAATGGCTGAGTGCCAACTCCGAACTCAGACCTTGAAGTCGGACTGTCCGACTGCCCTTCGTCCGAGATCAATTTTTATTTTTATAGACAGATTATATTTTTGTAATTTGTTTTGTACAAATGATCGAAACGATTTGGGGGGGGGTTTTTTTTAAACACAAAAACAAAGAAAGAAAAAATATTAGAACTCCGAAGATTGAAAGTCCGAATTCGACCGAATTTACTCTCGTGATAACAAATAAGCAATCAATGTATAAATAGCGTTTTAACGTAAAAGTGATGACAATATAGTTAGCCTATTTAGGAAATTACTCAATTTTATACATACTCTTGTGTGTCCGTGAAGACTAAAGTGTGCACAGCTTTTTACAACTCACGTTCACACTTCCCGCACAACGAGAGGGAAGCGAGAGAGAGACGAGAGCGAGAAGATAGACAATATGCCATAATAATAATAAATCCTAAATGCTTGCGTTTAAAAAAAAAGGTGTAGGCAATAGATGCACACATCTCCAGGTTGCAGAGATTCAAAGAAGAGAACACTCGAATTAAAAGTGGAAACTCGAATGTAAAATTTGGCCTCAAACCGACATCGCATCGACCACCACATCATTCCAAGGAGGTCTTAAGCAAGGTACTGTATATACGTCACACCTACCACGATGGGACTTACAAAGGTGAAAAATATTACGTTTTAACAATTTCGTAGCCAGACGCAAACATGAGCGAATTTTTATGCACAATCGTAATAGTTAGATTGTATTCCTGCCTGTCCGCGGAGAACGATTCAAACTCTTATTAGCACCCTGCAATGATAACTGTGTTGTACATTATATTATATGGTCTCTCAATCGCACCAGATCGATTTCGTTCAACCTTTTACAAACAGTCAGGTGATGATTATGCCAAGGGATTTGTTTCCTTATCTCAATCATCCGTTATTTTGAAGATCCTAAAGGCACCTATGCATAGCTTTGTACATTTCAATCGTGCAACCTTCACAAGGAACAGGCACTCATTTATTAGGTAAATATGAGTTACAGATGGACACACTCTCGGAACCTCAATTCGTGCAACCTCGCAGAAGCCCCCTTCTTAGGAAGCAGAAAGAAACTGTTAACGGTATGTCTGGTATTTAGTAGTTTTTGTTTAATTGTTGAAATGTTATCTGTATTGACTCCTGACTCCTGTATCAATCGGTAGTATCTCAAAACTATGACAATGGTTGCTTGTACGTATATGTATCAGTGCAGCCTGAATAAATTTATTGTTCTGTGCAATCGCCAATGCTCCTATCTATAATCCATCCTTTTCTCCTTGGAATGCCCTTTGCGATCTATATTCATACATCCTCCACTCTATAGACTCAGTAAAAGTTATTATAGGTCTATCATACACATAATTCAGACAGTAAAACTCGACTGGATATGGGCTATAGCTAATTCGCGTACAAGTTAACGTATTCTCTTCAACGTAATCGCACTAGAGTACTGGTTTATTTGGGAGTCAGAAACATATGCACACATTTATCATGGCCGATATCGCTCAGAAAATAATGTGAACCCCCAGATACTCTTATTTGTTTTCTATGTATCGTCAATCACATCAATGTATGTATAATCCCATGATCCCTAAGTTTGTACGTGAATGCAGTCCTCGTGGAGTGTAAGTGAACCTTGTTTGTGCTCATCGCGCAGCCAAAGTGCTAACTATGAGATATTCCAACGCGCAGGTCATGAGGTGGTACGGCGGAGCCAATACTTGGATGATTCCGATCCCGACTCCTCAGAGGTGAGCGTATACTTGCGAATGTGTATGGTGTTTGTACATAGTGGGCACATTTGCTCAAATGGCGCTTGTTCTGGTCGTAAAAGTCTTCGGACTGTAGCTCTCCCGCATGTATGCATCCCCAGCGCGTGTCTGTGGTATATATATATATATATATTGAGCACACCTCGTTTATATAACTCATCATGTGTTCCGTATCTACTGGTAGCCGTAAACTTTCGATGCAGTGTTCTTGGACGCTGTCTTCTGGCATATCAGTCCTCTCTACGAGCATTTTCCACTATATCTTACTTTTTTGTGCCCTGTATTTGCATTGTGTTCAATGACCAAACAGGTCCATGTCTGCATAACATGCGCATGCTAGCAGAATCTGATTGCTTGAGTTGTTCTTCTCGTGGCAGGTTTCCCTAAGTGCGGCTTCATCGCGGTCGTTCCAAAGTCAGAACAGTCGCAATGTGGCCATAGACAATCGCACGGGGGAGGACATTGCAATCATCCAACGACAGGTGAGTTGCATGTGCACTGATCGGTGATAGTCGTAGCAACACTGTGCAATTGCTTGAGATTGAACGTATACAGTGTCAAATAACACACACATGAAGCAAGTGCAGACTATGGTATAAGGGAAGACACACTTGAAGCAAGTGCGCACTATGGTACAAGGGAAGGGGACTGAGCGACTGAACACTGACAGAAGCACGGTAGATGGTTTAGAAAAAAAATGGTGGAAGTTCATAAATCACACAATCCACAATTGAATTTCCCGCGGTAAAGCACGAACCAGAATCCATTTATTTTATTTTATTTTTGGATCACATAGACTCGAACCAACTCGAAAAGTGGATGGAAGGCGAAGCAGAAATGGACCACTGATGGTATGTGCCTTACCATTTTGTCACAACTCATTTGTGCTAACATAGTGTGTCATGGCACAACTCATTTGTGCTAACATAGTGTGTCATGGCACAACTCATTTGTGCTAACATGGTGTGTCAGGGTTCTGTCTTGTGTTTGTTACATACCAGTCGGTCACTAATCCAGAATCGTGCGTTGCATTGCCAGGCTAATAGACTCGTTTATATGTGCTGTATCAGGTTTATATGCGTTTATCTGTTGCTGCATCAGGTTTATACGCGTGTGATGTTTGACCTGTCTGTGCGCCACTGGCTGCTGTGTTTTTAAGTCACCTGAGGCTGCTGTGTTTTTAAGTTACCTGTGGCTGCTGTGTTTTTAAGTTACCTGTGGCTGCTGTGTGCTTAGTAGCCTGTAGAAATTGGTTCCTCGTGTTGCAATGTATTGATGTTGTTGACTGCGTCTGTGGTGTATGTTGCATGTTCGGGTGGTGGTCGTGTTTCTTCGTGACTTCCTTTGTTTCGGTGCCCTTGTCTTGTTTCATACTGTTTTCTGCACTCATATCAGTGGCGTTCGTAGTCGGTGACACTCTGCAGCCATAGAATATATGTGTATGGTATGTTTTCTGTTCTTATTTATCCATAAAATATATGTGTATGGCACGTTTTCTGGTCTCATTTTTTCATAGACTATATGTGTATGATATGTTTTCTGTTCTCATTTATTGCTAGCTCTACACTCGCAATGATCCATTTGTAGCCGCTGAGTGTTTGCTATAGCTTGGTCCACAGTTTCATTGCCTATCGCTACAGACATTCCCCACTTCGCAAGGAATCCAGAGGTTTGCAATCTTTCCATTTTCATTCTCTAGAGTTCTGATAAATAGACGTTAAACTTCTGTTGGCAAAAGCATCACCAATCACTTATTACATAAACACGTGTTTGCTCATCTCCACAATCATTCCCCTCTTTGCTTTGTTGGGTACCTTCGCCATGGCACACAACAGCCGGGACTAAACTGGTAGGAACAGCTGACCCCATTCTGTGGGCACCCGTCAGCACAACCGACACGGACGACAAGGGCTGGATCTACACCAACGGCGTCTCTAGGGTGCCCCAACTGTTTGAGGTACGTAGGTACATGCATGTGTGCAATGGACAGGTAATGCAAGTGGGTAGATACAAGTGTATATCTAGTAGGGATATGTGTTAGATATTGACGGTATGTATATGTGTATAACTGAGGTTGTTATTCCGTGTTTGCATGAGCCCAGGTGAGCGACTATGCACACTTGCCTGCCATGTGTTCAGATCAACATACTCATCATGAAAGGTGTATTCTTGACTCCGAACTGTTGGTACACGAGCTGCCGTTAACTTGATATGCGGAACGACGTTTCGTGATTGAGATAATTCAAATCCTTATGCCGAAACCAGTGACAAATATGAGCCAATTTATAACATTCTTGCAATCATCGTCTACATACTCTGCGATTCTCAAACACTCTATCTTGGGTTAGTGACCTCTGTGTGCACTTTGTATGTTCAGCTTCGAGTCCTCGAGTACCTGATAAATTCCAGCGACAAACCGCCATGGTACGATCTTGTCCATTGCAAGAGTCTCTGTTATTATAGCTCTGTTATTATTCTCTGTTATTATAGCTCTGTTACTATTCTCTGTTATTATTCTCTGTTATTGTAGCCACCGGATACTATACCACTCACGAAACAGGCCCGTTCACAGGCCATGCATCTGTACCCCGCCCCCTGTTGCCTTATTAGCTCACATGAACGTGTTAGTCCACAATTATCTTATTTGTTCACAGGTACTCCCATGTTACTAATTTAATTCATAATTCACACTTGCCTTATTAGCTCACGTGCACTCCCATGTTACCTTATTAGTCCACACTTACCCTATTGACCCACACTCCCCTTGTTCGCCCAAATGCACTCTTCACTTCACAGGATCAGCACAGTAAGAACTGCGACAAGCTGCACACTGTGCGCTATCGTCGGTGGCACATGTTGACACTCATTGAGCGTCGCGATGACCTTGATCCGGTGCCACTCACCACTGAGCATGAGGTGTGCATGTGCTGGCAGGGGTGGATGGTCTAGTCCTCCCATTTAAGCATTTACAACCTGCATACATGAGTCTGGTAGACTGGTTCCGTTTGTTGGTACTGTACAGTCACCAGTTGGTTGCTGCATACGCTGTTTCGCAACTGTCGCATTGCGCATCAATAGTGCGATGGCCTGTGGGCTGTTTGTGCATGTTAAGTCCATGTACCATATAGTGCTTGCGTATTGTCTTCTTAGCACATACACAGTTGCAGCTGTGTGCGCCACGGTCACCTGGCATTGGGCTTGGTTGTCGTTTGGCTCCATAAGTCAGTCAGTCAGTCATAGCCCCGAGTGTCCCCTCCTGCGGCCGTTCTGTGCGTACCAGTCGTCTTAGGGTTTAGGGTTTTTTGCGTACCAGTAGTCTCTCGTGTTGTACTCACCCGCAGTCTCTTGGCTTCCCTGCCTGCAGACCAAGTACCTGCTACTGTCTGTGTTGCGAGGGTATGACCTGTCCAAAATAAGTGGTGCACGTACCCTGTACCGCATGTCCAAGAAGCACGAGCCCTTGTGGACCGAATTCTTCGAGGACCAAGCGCCTATCCAACCGTAAGTCAGCTGATGGCACCTGCATCTGCATCTGCACCTGCACCTCAGACGTCTGGACCAGTGGTCGTTGTGTATAGGCACGTGACAGTGAGTGTGTGCCAAGTGCACATTCAGCCATGTTTGCTTTGATGTGAGGGCAGGTGTATCTCCCTGTACGCGGATATGTTCTAGTGATTGGATGTGCTCTGACCATAGTATGTACGTCAGTCGCTATCCCTTGTAGTCTGTAAATTAGAGTGTGCCCCTGTATCGTTCAGACTATCAAACTAGGTTACAATCTCTCAACGGTACACACCAGACCATGCCACGCGCATCGCTTTCAAATGTATTTAGCTAGACTTTAAACCCTAAATATCAATGTACTGTGCACAAACGTAGTGAAATAATTGGAGGCTGTGGTACTTTTACGACATTTGTCTCAACCCAAGCGAATGCATATGTGTTAAGACCTGCCATGTATGATGTTTTAGGGTGCGAGAGTCTTTACGAATGGAGACACACTTGTGTGTGTGAATGAATATTCACTTGTACACACGTACCCAGACGAACCCCCCACTAAACGTTCATAATACATCTCTACCCGTCGTTAACGGTTTCAGGGACAGCACCTCCGATGCCCAGAAGCAAATTAATTCCATCATCAATAGGGCATGTGTGGTGGCTGTGCATGCTAAGGGTGTGTACGGAATACCACAGGAGAAGATGTATCTCAACGGCGCATCAGGATATCTGAGGATGAAAGTCAAACAGAATCTTACCAATTCACAAGTAGGAAATTTGTTTATACAATGGAAGCACGGAGTAAATGTGAATATAAATAGTCATCTGAAGATGTAAATAAAAGTTTTTAAGTATATATATATATAAGTGTGTGTGTGTGTGTGTGTGTGTGTGCGTCTCTGTGTGTATGCGTATATGCATATATATATACTGTATATATATCTATTCATGTGTAAATATACGTGTATATATATACATATATATACATACATACATACATACATATATGTATGTATATATATATATATATATCTGTATATATATATATCTGTATATATATGTATATGTGTCTGTGTGTGTATATTATTATATATACATGTACATATATCTATATCTATATATATATGTCTGTGTATAGTTTTTTTGTGTGTGTTTATGTATGTTGGATGTATATATATCTATATACATATATATATATATGTGTGTGTGTGTATAGTTTTTTGTGTATATTTAAATATATTTATATTTATATATATATGTATATAACTGTTTATGTATATTTACATGCATAAATATATACAAATATATATGTTTTAGTGTGTGTGTGCTA